TTTTTACTAAGAAGCATTGTTACAACAAAGAAATAATTGACCAAACAAAAATGCTGTTACTTTTTGCATGAGTATTGTTACTCATAGTGTCGCACAACTGGGTTACAGTAGTAGTGAGTGTCCTTATAGATGCATGACACACTGGCATCAAATTGAACCCTTAGATGCATGAGTGACTGGACCAAGTGGGTCAAAAATGACCCGTGGTAAAATCAGCATGTTTTTGTGCCACCTTTATCATTTTGGTTAAGAATAATCATTTGTATTATATTTTGGTATATTTTGAAATATTGTGTTTTTAACTTTTTTAACACTTTTTTTTAAACATTTTGAAAATGGGAAAAGAAAAAAAAACATAACAGTAACAGGACAAAGTCAATACCAAATTTGTGTGTCACTGTTCAAATGATTCCTCTCTCTGGTCTTGCCGTGTCCTCTGACTGTATGGAGCTGTTTTTGGCTTTAATCCCTCCACACAGGTACATTTCCCACACAACTGCTGATTTTACGATCTTCATTACTTGGATCTGAAATCTTGTTGCCTTTGTTTGGCCCTGTCTGCTTTTTCCCTGTGGCCAAGTTGTGGCTTTTGTCGCCCGACACTTTCCCATTGCTTCAGCGTTCAGGGTTTACAGCTGGAGGCCACCATCCAGTCAACTTCTCATATGAGATGTAGGAGTGATGCAAAAACTATAGAAATAAACTGGCTGTAGTTGGTAAGGACCATCTGCTAGCAGAAAGTCTGGCAAGTCTTATAAGGTTCATTAAAATGCTCTTTGCAGCTGTGATGAAAAAAACATGTTATTTCTCAATGGTGCATGCACATTAATCACACAGTGATTTTCTCTGCATGTATATAACAGGAATAACATATTAATGCTGTCACAAATTGTTATCCAGGGAGCTGTAGATTGTGTTCTATCAAACAATGATCAGGTTACTTGTATGGAGTTTAAACTACTGTTATACTGTTGTCAGTGCAGCTTTGCCCCCAAACAGTTCCATTGTCAGAGCTCCCAGAAGGAGATTTCCAGATATGCCACATTGTTATTGACAATGTCAAATATCTTTAAAATAATAAACTAAACATCTGAATTCTGCTCAGATCTGGTGTCTCTATTGATTTTTACAGGGGCACTATGCAGTATAGTGCACAGGTGAGATGCTGCTTTATTCCTTCGCTTTAATTTCCATTTACCTTTATTAGCATTAGCGTTTATAAAGAGACTAAGATCAACATTTTTGTTTACTTTCCTTCTGTTTATCTCTGACAGTGAAACACTTTTCCCTCCACACACTCACATAAACACACTCTATCTCCTGGGTCACACGACTGGTCCCTGGAGAGGTGTCTGTCATTGCCTGACATTGTGTTGTATTATTATTCAGCTCCACGTTCTGTTCGCATGACAAGATATTGTGGCCCTGATGAAACTGTGTTGTATCCACTGCGGCTCAATTTACGATCCTCTGCAGAAGCAATAGGGATGCTAGTCTGCAGGAGAGCCATCTGTTTTTATGGCGACAAGCTGTGGGAGCAGAGAGAGGTCTCAAAGAGTAGGAGAGAACAGAAACGCCACCATATGAATGCAGAAAATACAGCTTGCCTGCACAGGAATGAACAGCACACTAACGGCACAATTTGGAAGAAGATGGGAACGGATATTATCAGTGTGAATTTTAATTGCACAGTGTATATTTATTATGCTGATGAAGGCTAAAGTGCAATAGTGTTTCATGCAGTACTGCATATTATCATATTCCCTGGCTAATATCTGCTGCAAACAGTGCACTCACACTTAGAGCCGCCAAAGTTTAGATAATTTAATGAATTTTTAATAAAATTTTAACGTATTATTTTTCTTTGGGTGGCAGTAAGGAGTTTGGGAGATGGCATCACGCTGCACCATTTGCTTCTCTTTGCATTTGGTGTTTCAGACACTCTGTCCATGTGCGTAGCTTCAGCAAGTTTCCCAAACTTATGAATACATGTTACTTAAGGTTGAGGCTTACGCATTTACATAATTACATAGGTTTCCCAGAAGAACTAAAATAGAATCATGGCCTTGGAATAATGACAAAACCTGGGAAAACAGGTCTGTTGGCGGGTGTGGTGGCTCTTAGCACTGGTGCATCACAAGCTCTCCCAATTCACAGACACTTTGACCTTCTCATCTTACCATAACAGTTTTGTTTGTCAAGTCTTTCAGGCTGTTTGCCAGTTTTTCCGTTCGTCTGACACGGCACAAGCAGAATGTTGATGATCACCTAACATATCCCAGAAACCACAGCAAACTGTAGCTTCTATGATGTTCTGCAACACCTATAATGTTTTGCTAATTCGTGTGTACCTGAAGGTCCCAGCAGGAGCAGGGTTGTCATTTTGGGATTGGCATACTAACCAATGTTTAACCTCCTAAGACCTGAACTCTTCCACAGCATGTATTTTTAATTTTTCTTTGATATTTGGGCATATTGGGGCCTGATGAATGTAAAAACAAAGAATTACCAGATTATTTTTTTTTACCCAATTTTTGTTTCTAAGAAAAATGAGAGCCACATATGAGGATATTCGTTTAAAATTTCGATAGAACAGTAGCAGTATAATGTCCTCGTAAGTGGATATATTTGGGTCTAAATAACCAAAAATGTGATGTCCACATATGTGGACGCCATGTCCTAGGAGGTTAATGTCACTCTGCACAGATATAATATGACTCCATAGATTTCTTTATCAATGTTTTTGTAAAAACCTTGCTGCGTCAGCTTAGGTCACTGCTGTCCAAGTATAAAATACCAGGGCCATCAGTGGGTACTGCGTCAAGCAATCAGTCACTGCTAACACCGCCGTATTTGTCAGTGAGCAGGGTTACTGTTGTTCGGGACATCTTTAAAGCATAAAAATGCATAAAAAGATTTTTCTCTGCACTGCATCAGCAACTGTCTCGTGGTGGTGATATATTCACCACTTATTTATTATTTTTATGTTTCTTTACGTACCTCATCACAAATCTTCCAATTTTATTTGTGACCTTGAACATAATTTTTCATCAGTCTGCTCGTCTGGTTAAAAGGGAAGAAAAAGTTCACATTTAGAGGTTTGAGGGGTGATTGAGGCATAAGTTGTATCAAACCAATATATATCATTTGTTTGATTTTTATTTAAAGCTGTTACCTGGTTACTGTAAGTGTCACAGATTGGGCCTCATGGCTATAATGGGAAGTGAGATGCAGAAAAATGCTAATTAAAATTAAAATTAAAATAAAAGAAACAAGGAAATAACTTAAACAAACCAGTACAGTGTGTTAATGAGTGCTTGGATGAAAAAAAATGGTGTATCCAGTTTATTTAGTGTAAAAACTCAAACCAAAAAGTAACCAAAGTCCAAGAAAGGTATAGAAACTGAGCTCTGAGGCCTTTCATTGAGCACTGGCACAGTGTGCTGCCACCGTCACTGAACAACAGGACAAAAGGAAATCCAGCTGTTGGGTTGTGACATGAGACACTAAAAACTACTTTGTTAGGTTTGGGTGAGAATACAAGTAAGTAGCTTTTAGTGGCTAAAACTAACAATCAACAACTCAAAGAACTGAAAGTGAAAAGCAAGGGAGAAAAAATAAACAAAGTGCAGAACACAAAGGTCCCAACAGGAGGCAAAGCCAGGTCTCCTGGTGGTTAACCCTGCAAAGTGTGTTACTGTTTGTCTCTCCCCTTGAATGTCCATAGGAGGACTTTGCATATCTGTTAAACATAGCCGTAATCTGTCAGCAGCCAACATATTCCCAGCTAGAGTGTTACAGAACACCTTACCTGACACAGGAGGCACCTGACACAACGCAGTACAAAGCATCAGCATGACAAATTGTCCATGGTAGAAATCCATCTGTGTTCCTGATGCTGACCAAGTTATAGCAGTAATGTAGATTTTCCAAGTTTTCCACTAAGTTCGTCATCTCTGAAGTAGCAGTTTTAAAAAGGTATGATGTGGCCCGAAACGACAGTGCTGTTGCTGGAAACAAACAACACTTTAGGACTGAACTACTGAGCTAAGGACATAAGTCTTTTCCTTTTTTTGGACCATTTCTTAAATCTAACAAATTGGACAAACTGGAATACTTTAATTAACAAGTGGCATGACCATCTGTGCTCAACAAATCAATGCCTCGTCTAAATGCCCAGGATTGCCGTTGAACACCACTGAACACCAATGAGTGAGGATTATACTCATTGAGTTCCTAGCTAAAGAATTACAGAATAAAAGCAGTTTAGTAAAAATACTACTTACAGTCCTGAACAAACATTAGGCCTTTATGACAGTCGCTCAGATCTTTTTTTACGGAGTCCACCAAAAATTAAAGATCTAAGACCACTAACTGCAAAATTTGAACATTACAAACACAAAGAACTGGTGAAAAAACAGGGGAAGGAAGTGAAGGGAACGCACCTTGTATGGAAGAAATATAGTATCATCAGAATTCAAGTATTTTTAGACATTGAATTTATGACACTGAATTTTTATCCTCCAAATTTCCCTGCAAAAATATTCACCTGCAAAAATTCACCTGCAAAAAATTCACCTGCAAAAATTCACCTGCAAAAAATTCACCTGCCAAAAATTCACCTGCCAAAAATTCACCTGCCAAAAATTCACCTGCAAAAAAATTCACCTGCAAAAATTCACCTGCAAAAAATTCACCTGCAAAAATTCACCTGCAAAAGTGATGAACTTTAATGACCCAAGCCAGAGCAATCAGCACCAGATCGAGTCGAGTGGCTCTCGGCCAATTAAATTACGCTGTTTGATCACATGACACCGTTAGCCAGCAGTTTGTCTCCTAAAAGAGAGCTGTTTAGAGGTGAGTGATTAAGTTTTTCTCCTAAATAGAGATCATTACAGAACGCCTAGTCCTACTTAAAATCCCATTTATTTTTATTTTTTTTTTTTATCATCTACTCGAACTAAGGAAAACGTTTGACTAACTCAAAGACAATTTCCACGCCTCCCATGCCTGTCTGCAGAAGCAGTTTTGAATTTAGGAGCGCCAAGATGGCAGCGGCAAACCCTGGCGGCTCTCCGGTGAGTATATTTTTTTTTTTATCTTCAAGTTTGTCTTTTGAAACCTTAATTTTATTTAAATCCGTTGCTCACGTATAAAGTACACAGACGGGGTCTTTGCTCAACTCGTCTGAGGCGTGTCTCACTAAGCGCTACATGCTAGCATCCTGCTAACCGAGCTACCCTTTACATGCTGTGCTTTAGAAAATAGGATACTCGTTAAAAAAATACTCCGCAGATATTGATAGATAGACGAACACTGCAAATATAATGTTGGAAACGAGAACGGCCTTTGGTGAAGGGGTAAAATACACCATGAATAAAGCCATAGAGTGAATGGCTGCCATGGTTGCAGAACAGCCTGATTTAATGACAAGAATGGGGAAGAGTGAGGTGAAGTGAACCAAAGCCACAAAACACGGTCAGACAAGGCGGCAAAAGGGCAGTGATCTGTCCGTCAGTATGAAGTTGGTGTGTGCTTTGGTGAACAAAAACTCCAGACCGGTAGCAGGAAGATGGGAGACTCGTGTTTCACTGGAATAGTGGTGAATTAAAACATCCTTTGTTGGGGACATTTCGGTGTAAATGCATCCATACAGGCAAGACAGAGGCAGACCAGACAGTGAAGAAAACAAGGCAAACATTAGAAATATTAAAACGGAAATATAGGATTAATATAACATACAATTTGGGAAAATGTAAGGAACGCAATGTAAATGATATTGTAAAGTCATTAAAACAGCATACTCTGATTAAAAGAAACATGTAATTTGGTAGGATAATAATAATTATAATAATAATAAACATGTACAAGATGGGTATGTATACTTGTACCCAGAATTTAACAACTATAAAGTTGTAGCATGCCAGACCATCTTGATTGAATGTAACTTCGCTCCACACAAGTTTTTTGTTAGACATATTCATATTGTTATCTAATAAATGATACATTCTTAGATTTTATCGAACGTTAATTTATAAATTGTTTCTGTCTTTATGTGTTCGTTTCAGATTATGCAGGATGAAATTATTCGGTCAGCAAGACACTTGCTGCAGTTGCTTACATCATCCAACCAAACTCCTGCTGTTGCTGCTGCGATGAATCAGAATACAAGGTACTTTAGCAAGACTTATGAGTCAATCCTACATTCAACTAAATTGAGATATATATATATATATATACACACACATATACGTATATATATATATATGTGTGTGTGTGTGTGTGTATATATATATGTGTGTGTGTGTGTGTGTATGTGTATATATATATATATATATATATATATATATACACACACACACACACACACACACACACACACACACACACACACACATGAGAATATGATTTTATTTCTTGCAGAGAACAGAGTCAAGGTGGCCAGGGTACCAGCTTGGTCAACCCTGAAAGACCATCCCTTCAGCAAGAAATGACCAGGTGAAAAAGTCATAAACTAAACACTCAGCATGAGCATGGAATTTAGGATGGAACTTTATATCTTACCTGCTCTACACTCAGGGCTTGAATTACAACAACAGTCAATCACATAAAAATATACTTTTGGTAGTTCTGAGTCTGTCACGGATCTGGCTCGTTTCGACCCAGTATTTTGAGTTCTGATGTTTTGGTTTATTTTTGAATGTTTGTGTTTTTCGGGTGCTGCTATTATTATTATTATTATTTTTAATATATTATATTTCCGTGTTTCTGTGTATACTGCAGTGTTAGTGCTGTGTTGAATTTGTATAAACAAACTAAAAAAGCATTTCATAATAGTCGCTTTTAAATAATTTTGTTAAAATGTTTGGGACAGGTCTTTTCCTGGTATTTTCTCAAGAGGAAAGGGGAAAAGGCGATTCCCTGCTACATCTCTGGTGCCTGCTAAGAAGCCTAAACCTTTTGAAGTGGTATTTTATTTGCTCCCAAAACAAATGGAGAAGACCCCAACAGAACATGAAAAATATATCCACACACAGGCAGGGATGGGTCAAAGAACAGCACATCTTGATGAGAGCACAACACATGAAGAGGTATAAACTTATTCTTTTTATTCACTGATCAAAACTGAGAAGTTTTCGCTTAATAAGTGTTATTGAAGGTGACCATCACTGCAAGTCACAGGTGGCATTTACAAAAAATAATATTATTATTGGATATTCATCATTAATCATGAAAATGTAACTGTAAATTTTGGATTGAAAAAGATTTTTTTATTATATCCAGTTTGCACTGTAAATGCATGGTTCTTTTACCGTTTCTTAGTATATACAGGGGTATAATTAATGTTAAATGTGTAATTTATTTGGACTCAGAGATTGTATTTGTATTATTGCTTTCAGTTAAGGGACGCCCTGAATGATTTGTTTCCCAAACTGAAGGAGGTAACAGGTGGCTGGCTGCTGTTCAAACCTGGGGGTGTGTATGAATTCTGCACTGTGTAATTAAACTAGAAACTGATCCTGCTGTTTAATAAGTACTTTTAAGACAAGTTCCTTTTCACCGCATGTTGTGAATTCCTAATTCTGAGTAGTTTTGAAGATACTTTTCTTTTTCACTTTTCTTGAGGCATTGGATATATTTCATGATCAGAATAATCTGCTGCAATTTGCTTTTATACAGGTGGTTGGGGAAGCCGAAAACTCTCTCTGGTTCCTCCAGCTGATATTGGCTATACAGGGACAATCCTAAAGGCTGCCAGTTGTGGGGGTAAAAATGTATATATTGCTCCTATTCAAGAGGAACTTAGCAATGACCCTGTACCACTAAGCGATGAGTCCTTCAGATGCATGCCAAAAGCAAAATGCCAGAAGTGTGGCATAGGTGTTCCACTGCAACTTCTGTCAGAACACCTAAAATCCTGTCCTCCTTTGGAAACTCCCAGTGAAAGTACTGTGGTGAATTTAGATGGTGATGAACCTACAGAAAAGGAATGTAGGTTTTTTTGACAATTTCATACTAACATATTACCCAAAAACATAAAGTGTTAAGAGCTAGCTAGAAGGAAAAATTAAATGTTAAAAAAATTAAACTTTGTCCTTTAAAATTTATTGCACAACAGCACCATTGCAGCAGTGTCCTGTCTGCACAGATATGTTTCACTCTGACCTCATTGAGCTGCATGCCTCTTCATGTGGAGAAAGGTATTTAGCAACAAAAATTGCAAATTTTATTGTCATTGGATTTAAGCCTTGAATGAAATTTAACAACATATTTTGATAGTAGCTCACGAAATGAAAAGGGGCATGAAGATACAATAATTGAGGAAGGGCTAGCAGATATGCCAGGACCATCTGGAACTACTTGTGAAGTCAGGGATGGTACACTCAAAAAAATGAACTCAGCCTATCTCTGCTTTTACTAAAGTAGATTTTGTTGTTTGTTCTTAATAAACTCGATTTTGCAAAAATCCTTAAAGTGTTTGTGCAAATTTAATGAAATGTTGTTACTTTTTGTTGTTACACAAAGTCATTGAACTGTGTCAACGTAACATTGTTGAGTAAATTCACAGGTTTGTCCCTCTGCACATACTGCTGCGTGCAGAGCCCGCCTAAATAAGGGCCAATGCGCATGCGCACCACCCTCTTTCTCAAGCTTGCTATTTCTTCGCCATGTGGACTGGTTCAGCCGCATTTTTGTCCAAAAATCAGGTAAGAAGTCATTTTTCTTGTAAAGCCCGTCTACATATATATGTTCACACGTCAGTTAATGTCGCAAGTGCTACTAAGAAAAGAGTACAGGCAGGGTTTTGCCCGGTAAAGGTTTGCTAACGTGGACTTGCTGCACGTGAGTTTCCAAATGATTTTGGAGGGGACTCCATTGCAATAGCAAAGCTCTGTTTTCAGCCCAAATGTAGTGTAGCGCTAGCGTCGGTATGCGTCGGTACGCGTCGGTACAGGCAGCGCATTCGGTCCGGCACGCACTTTCGCGCCAAGTTTATACTCGGACGCCTGACTGCGTTGCACTTTAGCCAACAACAGTGGAGAAGCGCTCCTCGCTAGCAGACAGGTTAGGGTGTATTTTCTGTCTAATATTTCAGCTTACGTTTTGATGTAGCTTGCAGAAAGCATTTAGTAAGCTGGTGTAAGATGAACTGCATTAATGTTGTACAATGTCCATGGGATTTCTCACTCGACTTTTAATGTCAGATTACACACACATTTACACAATATGCAGTGGTGATGATGTAGATCAATAAATTCATTGTTGTAGCATACAATATTAAAAATAAAACTGATTAATATGAAACATTAACAATGTGCAAATTATTTAGTTTTTTCAGGGACAGTGTAATGAAAATGTCTTTTGTGCTTCTCCCCCAGATACGTTGATGTGGCAGTGCAAATTGTGCAAAAAAGTGGTGTCATCACGAGCTCTGTTATTAAAACACTACAGGTTAGTTCATAGTAGACAGCAGTATCCATGTGCCTATTCTGATTGTGTCTGTGTTTTCAAAACATGGAATGCTCTACATAGCCACTTAAGCAGATCACATACCCAAAGAACTCTAGACAAGTCTGTGAGTTTGGCAACATTTAACTGCCATTTGTGTTCCTGCTGCAACATAGCTTCGGAGCAGGAGTATTTTTCTCACATTAACAACCATCTAAAATGTAACGAGACTGTGCATTGCATGTTTGAGGGTTGTTCTTTCAAAACAAATATCTATGGTACATTCAAGTCTCATCGAAATAGGAAACACAATCCTTATACCTTAAAAGACTTTAAAATCGGTATTGCTAACACTATTGTAGGCCAAACATCAGCTGATGACAGTACAGACACTATTGTAGAAGAGGACATAAGTGCAAATATTGATCACGATAAAACTACAAGTGAGACTGAAGATTTGGCAAATGTAATAGAACTTAATTTTGCATCTCTTTTACTTAAGTTGGAAAACTATTTTCATGTTCCCAGCATAGCAATTGACGAGTTGCTTTCAGAATTGCACTACCTGATAAGCTGTGCATCAGTGCCTTTGACAAATCAAGTAATTGTAGACATACTCAAGAATCATAACCTTTGTCTAGACCAGCCTGTTATTGAAGAACTGACAAAGGCAGTTTCTTTTAACCCTTTGTTAAAAGCCATAGAAAAGGACGGCACACTTGCCACTGCCTTCAAACGCAGACAGTATTACAGAAAACATTTTGAAGTAATTGATCCAATTGAATACATTCTCGACTCCCAAAGCAAGAGGACCTTTCAGTATATTCCTATTCTAAAATCATTACAGCAGATATTTAAACAAGAAAACATACTGAACAAATTTGTCACTAGCCACAATCAGAATCCTTTTGTAAATAAGGAAAAGTATACATCATATAAAGATGGTCTACATTTTCAAAATAATGAGTTTTTCTCAGGCGGTGAACTAAGAATCTCTATTTGTCTTTATGTTGATGATTTCGAAATTTGCAATCCATTGGGGACATCACGGAAAAAGCATAAACTTTGCTCAGTTTACTGGATTTTAGGTAACTTGCCACCAGGTAGTCATTCATCCCTCTCTTCTATTTATTTGGCTCTCTTGTGCAAAAGTGAGGACCTTAGGATTTTTGGCTATTCAAAAATATTTGAGCCACTTTTGCAAGACCTTGTCATTTTAGAGCAGCAGGGAGTGTTCATTGACAATTTAGGGGTCAACTTTAAAGGCACTGTCCAATATGTAGTGGCAGACAGCCTCGGAGCTCATGGATTGGCCGGTTTTGTGGAAAGTTTTTCTGGAGATTACTTTTGCAGGTTTTGTACTGCTACACGCTCAGAAATTGAATCAAAAGCTACAAATAGTGACTTTTCTCTGAGAACTGAGGAGCTCCATCGTGTACACATAGCAACTGCACGTGAGACAGGGGTAGCTTGTTGTGGTGTGAAAAGCTCGTGTGTCTTAGCAGACAGTCTGTCTTTCTTCAAGGTCACTACAGGATTCCCCCCTGATCTTGCACATGACCTTTTTGAAGGTATTGTGCCTTTTGAGATAGCTGAGTGCCTTCGAATACTAATAGGCAAGAAGTACATCACTTTTGAAAATCTAAATAGACTTGTTCAGTCATTTCCCTACAAAGGAGGGGATCAGACTAATCGCCCTCAGAAATTGCCTCACAATTTTCTTAGTAAAAAAACTGTTGGTGGCAATGCACATGAAAATTGGTGTTTACTAAGACTTCTGCCACTTATTATTGGACAACACATACCTGAAAACGAACCAGCTTGGGAACTTCTACTAGATTTGAAGGATATTGTTGAGCTTGTTGTGTGTCCTGTTCATAACAGTGACTCAGCTGCATACCTGGAGAGTAAGATTTTAGACCACCATCAAAGGTACAAAGAAGTATGCCCAGATAGAAGACCATTGCCAAAACATCACTTTCTGGCTCATTATCCCTCAATAATTCGCCATTTTGGTCCACTTGCCTTATTATGGACAATCAGATTCGAGGCAAAGCACACATTTTTTTAAAAAGTTGCTAGACACACAAACTGCTTCAAAAACATAACCCTGTCTTTGTCAACCAAACACCAGCTCATGATTGGCCATTACATGCATTCATCAGGCTGTAGCAAAGCCACTTTTGAGGTTTCACGAGTCTCGGCAGTCCCAGTAGAACTTCTCAAACGTGAAATTGCACATTGTCTTGCTGAAAGTACCCTGACACAGCTGTAGTTAGCCTTGCCCAGAGTGTGTCTGTTGCAGGCATCTACTACAGGAAGGGCATGTTAATAGTACATGGATCACTGGGGGGTCTGCCAGAGTTTGCTGAAATCCTGCAGATGTGTATTTTGGCAGATTCGTTGGTGTTTATAGTAAAAAACTGAGCTCGTGGTACACTGAACACTATGGATCCTTCAAAATTGACCCATCTCCAAAGGAAATTTCTCTTGTTGCACATGAGGATCTGGTGGATTGTTATCCACTTTGTGACTACCAAGTCGGAGCTTCTCGCATGGTTACATTAAAGAGATACATACACTGTTCAGGTAATTTTAATGTCCATGTTGCCGATTTAATTTTTGTGCTGTATAGCAGTTCTTCTCAAAGTTTGGTTCTTAAAAATAGTTGGACCAGAACTTAAATCTACTCGGATATGTTTCAAGCCTTGTAAAAATACTAGAAAAAAATTGTGCTGCAAAATTCTGAATACCACTAAAAAAATGTAACATGTACTGAAGTTTGGGAACCACCTGCTCATGTTCTTGCACTTATTTTTTAGAGTAATAGTTGGAGATTGGGACATCAGAAATGACAGCCCCAACAAAGCTTCTGATAATCCTGGGGGAGAACAACGCACTCAAGTTAACCCTTCCTTTGGGGATACCAAAGAATGTTAACGAGCTCAAAGCGGAGATTGAAAATCAGTGCGGAGTTTCTGAACAGTTCAGATTGCAGTACATGGACACAGATTTTAATCAGTTCCTTAACATGACATCCACATTTGATCTAAAAGACATGGAAAAATAAAAGTGATTAAAACAGGTGTTCCAGAAACATCCACTGGTAGTAATGAAAGCAGTGTGTCCTCATTTAACTTGGGTAGCCCCTGCTCTGGCCACAACCCTGATTATGACACAGATATACTGTCATCGCCAGAATCCAGGTCATCAAGCTCCTCGAGCTCAGCAAACTCCACGCTGCGATCAGAAGCCTGGCCACTGGACTTTCGCATACCTGAGTTTAGCTTCGATGTAGAGCTGCAATTGACAAAAGGCAACCAGGAATTCCAAGCCAATGGAACACTTTTAACCCTAAAACCAAAGCTCAAGTCTGACATTTTAGAGAGCTTGTCTTCAGAAATTATGAAGTACAAAGCTTACCCTTCAGACAGCAATCTTAGTGATGTTTGCCAAGCTTTGGTTGTAAAGCATCCATGCTTGAAAGAGAAGGGTTCAGAAACTGGATTTTCTGCATGGAAGATCAGTTTGAAGTATAAATGTCAAACTATCGTGGAAAACTGAAGAACTTAGGGTGTAGTGAGTTGGTCATCAATTCTCTCAAAAGAAGAGGGAACAGTAATGTGCATCCCAACCAAGTCAAGAAACCCAGGAGAGCAGAGGTGAATTTCTGCCCTGATTATCCACCTGGAGAAACCCGAGAGAGTCAGGAAGAAGAAAGGTTGGTGCTGCTTTCAGAGTTCAAGAAGAAGAACAACAATGAAACCATCAAAGCAAAAATGGCCCAAACCTTTCCTCACCGGAGGCAAGAAATTCTTCAGGACATGCCCTTCGTAGCTGACTTTAAAAGCCGATGGCCAGCTCTTTTTTCTCCACGTGAGGTAACTGAATCAGTTGATCTGCAAATGCACTCCACATGCAATATTTTAAACCCATCACGCTAAACATTTGTTTATTTTACAGATAAATGCTGAATTCCAGCGCATCACTACGATCCCGCTAACATCCACATTTATGGCACAGCTGGACAACAACACAACCAAACTGACCAAAGTCTTCAGAAACAAGGGAGGAACATCTGGACGCAAGATCACAGAAATCATGGCTGCAATTGATGAGGTTTGGAATTAATTTTTTTCAATGCTTCATTCCCTCTTTTAATACATATGATTTTGTTGTCTCCTTCTATTGTAAGGTAAAGTTTAATGTTGGTATTATGGGATTGTTTATTCTTTGTCCTTTTCATGATAGTGTTGTCACAGTAATAAAGTTTTAAGTTGATTTGGATACTTTATAAAAAAAATTGCCAGAATTAAAAGCTGTTTTTACAGGACAGTAGCGCTTCCAAAACGGGATTTGCCGCGGCTCCCTGGGGAGAATTTTGGCATTTACAGTAGAAAAGCTGAAGCTAGAATAAACTGCCATCAGGCACCTTTCAAACCAAGACGGGATAAAGGGAGGTCTCTGAGCTTAGTACTACAACTGTTTTTTCATTTGTCCTTGCAAAACCTCCTGTTCAAGTCCTCCAAACACACCCACGTCACCCCGCTTCTCTTCCAGCGTCACTGGCTGCTGGTCAACTTCAAGGTTCATTTCAAGATCCTGGTTCTGGTCCTTAGGGCCTTACATGGACAAGCACCATCATACAATGGAGATCTTCTCAGTCCCAACACCCCAGCAGGTCCCTGAGGTCCAGTGATCAAAGCCTGGTAGTGCACAACAGTCTAAAGACCAAAAGTGACAGATCATTGCTGCTGTGGCCCCCAAACTCTGGAACTCTCCTCCTAAGCCTTAGATCAGTGGACTCAGTGGTTTACTTTAAAAAAAAAAATCCTCTGTTCAGGCTGGCTTTGGTGTGACCTCTTGTTCATCCTCTTCCTCACTGGATTCTTCATGCTGCTGTTTTTGGTCGGGTTTCTGTTTTTTTTGGGATCCTGTGGTTACCTTTTTTTGCTCGTCACATTTTTTCAAATGATAATGTTCCTTCTTTCCTTAATTTTTTTTATTTTAAATTTTGTTGTTCTTCTGTAGTGTGTCATGGACTTTTTTTCTCAAAGCATTATATACATTTATTTTGCTGAAGTTAACTGAAAATGTCTTTAAAGTTTAGCTAAGTAAAATTTGCTTTTATGTTTTACAGAACGACACAGTTGCAATGAGAAGAGTGTGTACGCTGAAAGGACTTGCAGTCTACCTCAATGAAGATCCGAACAGCTTGATCAAAGAATATCAGGCAAGTAATCAAATAGAAACAATTTCCAGTAATAAAAATTTAACTGACGGTAATTTTTCCTCACACACATTCATTAGATTATAACAAAAAGTTAAAATTAGAACATTATTGGAGATATAAAAGCACAAGCTTATGCGGGAGTGACCCTTGCCATTACAGTTGGGGTGTAATGTGGGCTGAGTGTACTGTCTTTCTGCTTTGTTGTTCTGCCGTGTAATCTAGATGATGGACCAACACCTCTCATCTCACTCTGAGCTGTCTACTGTTTTGCAGCTTAAAGGGATATTCCACCCCAAAGTGAAAATTGGTCTATTACCAATTTTACCCAGAGTAAGATAAGTGAGAAAAAATAATTTTGTAACCAGTGCAATAATTCTCCTGATCCGGCAGCAGTCTATTTGCTTTTGCCTAGCATTTAAAAAATGGAGTGAATGGGAACTATAAGCATTTTGGTTGCAAATGACTCTTTAATGGTACGAATTATTCCTGGTGAGCTCAATAATCATGTCGACTTTAAATGAAAAGTAATAAGTAACTTGAAGGATTTGGAGGAGTAGATTTAGACTTGGGAATACATTATGGTTACCACATACAACACTGTAAGCCGCCGCTGCATGGTGCATGGATATTCGAATATGTGTTTATTTATGGAAACCAGAGGCTTTTTCAACCACTGTTGTTGTATCCAAGTGCTATGCCATGGCGGGTTACAGGGTGCTTTGGCGTAACCGTAATGTAGGCCCAAGTCTAAATCGCCTCCTCCTGCAAATCCGTCGTGTTACTTTTTACTTTTCATTTGCAGTCGACATGATTATTGAGCTCACCAGGAACAATGGGTATAAGATCAGAAATGTACTGTGCTGGTTACAAAATGCTTTTTTCTCACTTATCTAACTCTTGGCAATTTATGGTAATAGACAAATTTCCACTTTGGGTGGAATATCCCTTTAATTGATATGAAACCCTGCAACTTGTATTATTATGTTTATTTACTTATTGATTTTTTTAGGATGTGGACTTCCATGAGGCCGAAAGTGAAATGGAGAAGACGCTCATTGGCATCTACGTCATCAAACCAGAAGGAGAGCGTGACCTTGACCCGGCAGAAGACATTGGTATCATAATTGAGGGTGTCGCTGTGCTCAGAGATCTTCCTGATGTTGCCACTGCTGTTGTGTTGTTGTTCGGCCTGATCTACACTTTAAACATGAGCTACCCATCCAACCTCAGGTACACTTTTGAGTTTTTTCAGAAAGTACTGATGGGACTTGATGCTAAGAAGCTATCAAACAAAGTTCAAGTGCTCAGAAACAAACTCCTTGAATAAAGAGGAGGAAGCGGGAGGCCCTTATTGCTTAACTTAGTTTGAATGCTTTACGTTCAGGTATAGTTAAGTTGTTCATAAACACTTTTTTTTCATTGTCAGTACTGTTTCTTGGGAACATTCACCAGTTTTAGAGAACAATAATGTTCATTTGCATTTTAGCAAAATACTGTTACTTAAAAAATTGGTGTTGCACTTCTTCTACTGCTACTTGACAACATACAGAAAATGACAGACATTTTAAAAAGTTCTAGCGGTTAGGCCGCTGTGATTTGATATTTCAAAGAATGTGACATTTGGCAGCTGTCTGCAACTTGGGATGTAACCATAACTTGAAAAACTGAGTAGCACTGTTTTACAGTACAGTTTTTGAACAAAACAGCCAATTTTCACTGTTTTAAATGAGTTTAGTTTGCTCTTTCATGCTTATCAGTGTTTGAAAATAATTCCTGAAACGTCCTGTAAAATGTAGGATTTTTTTTGATAATTTGGATGCTTTCTGGACCAGTTGAAAGACAAGTTGGTTAGCACTTCACTGATCTTTGAAGTAAAATATTGTTTTATGCACAAAGTATTTAGTTAAAGTTGTAACAAGTTGTCTGCATTGATTGCACTTTGTGTTAAGCTACGGCTCTACAGTCTTTTCGGTCTGTCAACAAGTATTTAATATGCACTGAATGTGCTTAGTAAAGACAGGACTTTGTTGGATCATTTTTTTTAATCATTTTAGTTTGACGACAAGTTGGTTAGCACTTTATACTGATCTACATTTTCTGCACAAAATATTCACTTGGAATTTGTAACAAGTTGCATTGATTGCACTTTGTGTTAAGCTGTTGTGCTTGGAAAAAAGTATTTTATATGCACTGAATGTGCTTATTAAAGGCAGGATTGTGTTTGATAATTTGGGTGCTGTCTTCATTTCTTCCTAAAAGATCTCCCTAAGATTTACTTAAAAATGTTATGTCAAGTGGTTCCACATAACTGCTTTAGGTAACTTTTAAGAAACTTTGCTATTTTGTATGGAAGTAACCAGTGTAAATGATTTATTTGTAATTGTATTGAATAGAAATTACTTAACAATTTTATATAATTCAAAAGTAACAAAGTTATGTAGCAGCTACATAACAGTTTTACAAAGATACTACCTAACCAGGTTATGTCCTTCTAAAGCAGAAAAGTTATGTACCAGCTAAGTAACAGTATTACAAAGATATTGCCTAAACAAGTTATGTAGGCTTAAAGCAACAAAGATAAGTATCAGCTAAGCATTGCAATTAAGTTACATTTAGCCAATACACTTACGTAAATCTAACTTAACAGTATTGAGTTCAAACTAAGTAACAACATTTCTTAAAAGTTACTTAAAGCAGTTGTGTGGAACCACTTGACATAACTTTTTTAAGTAAATCTAATGTTTTATTTTTTTGAGTGTAGGTCAATCATTTAGTCACAGGTTATGTAAGGAAGGTGTTGATTAGTAACAATCAACAGCTAATGTGAACAATTCCCGGAAATCAAACCATTAGTTTGTATCCATTCAATGGATTTCTTATTTTTGATAGCCTCATATTCAAACTACTTTAGACAATCCTTCAAAGGATAAAACATAATCTTTTTGTAACAGTATCTAGATAGAACTTGATATACAGACTATATCCAATTATAATCACCTCTATTTTCTTTTAGGCTGGTTAACTGTTTTGGACTCTTCAAAGGCCATATATGAATGTGCAAAGAATGCTTTGGACATGCATGAAATGGAGAGCCCATTACGTCTCACAATGGACATCAGACAAAGTGTAGCTGATCAGGACATGGCCCTCATCTCATTCTACAAGAGACCCAATGTTGAATGGGCACGTCCCTTGGAGTGCAGGCTTGAGGGTAAATTTTCTGAAAATGATACATAAATATATCTTGAAATAATTATTTGTATTCATTATTTTATTTTGGTGATCTAACAGGGGATACAGCTATCGGACAAGGAGTAATACGTTTTTTCTTATCAACATGCATGGAGAAGCTGATGTCTGGTTTTTGCATCAATTTTGGTTAGTTTGTTTTGGTTGACCGTACCTATGTTTGATGATCATTATATTGTATAACTTTTCACAAGTTAATTGTCTCTTTATTTTGTGAAAACCTCTGTATTGTGTGTAAGTAATCTTCTTTTTTTTTTTTTCCTTTCTTTTCATTTATCTCATAGCAAACTCTAATGTTACTCCACTTTTTGAGGGAGAGCCAGGCCATTACATACCATCAGCAGCTCACTTTCTTGTGGAGAGTGATATGTTCCTTATGGCAGGGAGGATGGTAGGGCACTCCTTTCTTCATGGAGGCCCATGCCTATCTGGACTTAGCCCAGCCGTTGTGCATGTCCTACTTGGTGGTAGTCCTGAAACTGCCACCGTTACACCCGAGGACTGTCCAGATCTAGACCTGAGAGGGACAATTCAGCTTGTAGGTTTTTATGTTTAAATGAGGGAACGTTTATACATTGCCCCGTATGAGTTATAAACATGTCTAACCTAGACTAATCCTTTAAAATTGTTCTAGATCAAAAACTCTGCCATTGAGACATGGTCTGAGACTTTAAACTTGTCTTTTTTTTAAAAATTTTATGTATGAGGAATTAGGAATTTATAGTTCTTGTTTCTGTCTGAATTACTGTCTTATGGGTTACAGCTTGAAGGGCAATCCAAGCTGTCGGATGAAGAGAGAAAACGTGTTCAGGATCTGGCATATGCATGGGACCTCCCCCCCTTGACAGAGAACAGGAGATGGCTGTTTGAGAAATTATTACTCCATTCTGTGAGTGAATTGAAAAGTAAGTAAAATATTTCTGTGTTACTGTTTAGTTAACGTTTTTCCTTAGGTCATTGGAAGAGTGACGAGGTCGATAAAACAGCTGAGAAGGGGACTTAAAGAAACCCATATGTGGACCCTGCTGACCCAGCGACCTGACACGGTGCCCTTACTCTTTCCACAAGAGTTGGCTGCTGTGAATCCTGAGGTAAATTTTGTGTTCCTAAATACTGTATTCATTAATAACATTTTACTGTGCGTTGTAGAAAATGTAGTCCAAAGCAAACTATGAAGACTTGAGTCATTCTACAAAGTGAAAAAATTGCAATTTTAATTTGGCATTTACCAAGAATTATGTATCAAATAATAAACTTACCATAACAAAGCTGTATTCATTTTTACAAATAAAATGCACAAATACTAAAAATGAACATATTCTTGTGGACCATACATCTTTACAGCAGTTTTTCTTTAGTCCTGTAAAAAAAAAACTGCTCGAAAAGCATGATTTACATATAGAAAACGATTTTGTAGATTTGAAAAAGACATAATGACTAAAATACATTAGTAATTATTTGGTAATACACATTTTCTAATTATATATTTAGCCATTACTGTTGTTTGAATTTGAAAAAAAAAAAAATTTAATTTCTATTTTCATTTTTTGTTTGAGACAGTTTCTTCTTTTAAGATACAGTCAAAACTATGTAGAGGTTTGGGGATCCAAGTGAACACAAAAAGCACAAAACATGGATTATTATAGAAATTTATTCAAGAAATCAAGTCATGGATCATAAGGCTAAGTGGGTGATAGTGAGCTAAGAACAGGTGTGACTAATTAGATAAAATATGGCTATAGGGAAGGGAACTCCCCAAAACAAGAAGAGACAAAATCCATGGAAATCTGAAAAATGTGCAGCAGTATTTTTAAGGGTATACTTTGTTCTGTTACAGGTCCTTCTTCAGTGGATCGTGTGGCCAGAAGATGAAGATGATGACTGTCCTCTTCAAAATAAATGCCGAATCACAGGCTACATGAGGCATATTATTCTAAATGGTAGGTTTGCAATTTTGCAGGAGGGGAATACTACGGAGCCCCGCAGGGGACATGGGAGAAAAAAAAATTAAGATGGACTTTTGCGAGATCTCGCAAAAGTATTGCGAGATCCCGAGTTTGTTTTTGCGAGATCTCGCAAAAGTCCGTCTTAATTTTTTTTTTCTCCCATGTCCCCTGCGGGGCTCCGTAGAATACCAATATTATTGTAATGTTAAAAATATATTGGTTGGATTTTTTTCAAGGTTGTTAAACCTCTTTTTTCTTCACAGCAACACCAAGTGAGCTGACAAATGTCCTAAAATTCTGGACTGGATGGGAGATTGTGCCAAAAAGTCTCACAGTGGAGCTAGTGGATGGCAGACATCCAACTGCTGCCACCTGCTATGAGACCTTGCGCATTCCATACCACTACAAGGACTATTTAACTTTTAAGGAAGACCTCATTGCCTGCTCTGAAACCTGCCACTCAGGGTTTGGACTCATTTGAGTCATTCCCATAATGCAAGGTAGTGGTGTACAAGTCTCTGTTTAAGATTTGGAATATAAATGTTCACATCTACTGGGCCTCTCTGATGCCATTTACTCTGTGCAGGCAACATTGGTTCTTGGTTCAGTTCTCGGTTGAAAATGCCTTTAAGTAGTTTTTAAAACTGTTAATGTCTTGAAAGTTTACCTTGTCAATGACATCTTGCATGCATCTTGATCAAAATAAAAGGACAAGATTGACTTACATTGCTGTTTTAATTTTGAAACATTCCAACCATCAGCCTTCAGTCAAATATTGCTTTACAACATAACATTCAAACTGACAAGCAGTTTCTATTTAGTTTTCTGAGTGAATCAATATTTTTAAGTTCCCTCTCTCCTAATTCTTCAGTGTTTACATTACGAAGCTTTACTAAAAATTGTTACTTATAGCGAAGTTTATAGCTTGAAACAGTTGGTGAACCCTGTGTAATCTCAGATTTCAGCACAATTTGAAGATCAGATCCCATTTCATGACCAAAGTCACAATAATCAGAACTGCTTATACACAATTATGTTAATGAAAAAATCCTTGAAAATTCTTTGAGTTGGTTTAGTTTAAGCAGACTGATTGTCCAGATGTCCGTGATGAAGATCCGATTACATTTCATGACCAAATTGTGCGGAAATTAATGAAATTCAACAAGATACACAAACTTTTTCCTGCAACTGTATGTAGCTTTCCTATTCTAAATGAATTGCTAACAAAACTGAACAGCCATAATGTACATGTCCGCACCAAAGGACTGGGATGCCGCTCTTGGATTAACAACGCCCTGTAAAGTTGTCATTTGTTCTTCTGTCAATGGACAGTCAGTGTTCGGAACAACAATGCTTGAATGGTTATGGCAAGATAGGCCACTGTCCTCCCAGTCAATGTCTGGAATCTGGAAGCCCTGCAACGAACAAGCAAAATTAGGAAAGAATAATTGTATATAGGAATCAGAGTACTAAAAATGTGCACCTTTACCTGTGTGTTTTCTGGAACAGGAACAGGGTGATATCTGTGACCCAACTCCCACAGCTGGTTGGGACTCATGTTGTTTTCTGTTCGCAGTGGATGGTTGTCCCATCCACTGCAAAATGTATTCAAATCATCCTCCAGTCGAGGAAGAAAGACGTAATGGCAGCAAAAGAGGTGTGCAACATTTGAAATGTCAAGAAGGCCCTCTTCCTCAAGGTTGTGAAGAACATCGTAGTAAATGCATGTAACGGCCACCCAGAGGTCTCTCCACAGTCGCTCTATTCTGAAATAATATATAAAAAATATTTAATTAGGTATGGCTTTTCTTGGTGTGTATGACAAATTCCCTGCTTGTTTCTAACCCTACATGAAATGTGTGCATGACAACAGTAATAATACATTATCAGGGCATGTAGGAAGGACCCAGGCATATCACTTAAAAGGTGCCAAAAGGATTGTAATGATCAGTGGCAACATGAAATGACAACCAGACCATTAACACAGAATGAACATTCATGGAAGGAAGGAACAGACTGGAAAAGGTGCGTTAATAACTAAAAAATAGGGCACATTCCTGAAGGCTCTTTGGGGTTTGTAGGACCTGTCCAATATTTTCTTCCTTGAGGGGTAAGTAATGGAAATTGAAAGAAAAAACAACAAAAACTGCCAAAAAAAAAAAAAAAAAAAGGAACACCTGATACATATCAGAAAGTATATCATGCTGGATAGGGCACTGTTCTCTAAAGACATTTTACTGTAAAACTTTCATAAAACTATACCCTTTAAATGTATGTATTTTTAAATAATGGAAATAAAGATGCAACACCTTCCATCTTATGTCAGAAACATTTGAGGTGGACAGTATTTTATGAGAACAAACCTTTGATTGTGCACACTCTTTCCTGAAATGAAACTGCCTCTTCCTGTGCCACGAACAGTAAACATCAGCCGTGCAACCTCCACATTTTCCCCTCCGTGGTCGCCACGAACCCTGAAAACAAAGAATCGTACCCCAAAACATTCGAAGCTTTAAACAAACTTAGATCTGATAATAAAGAACAGTATATGCCTTAAGCAAAGTTTGAAAAACAAACTGTAAAAGAATCCTTAAAATCTTTCATTGCTACTGCTCTTGAATGCATCAGAAAAATTGTCTCATGAATGCACTTTCCAGCATGTGTCAGTATGAAGTTTAATTTAACACAGCTGTTAAAACATTTTTTAGGATTTCACAGGTTAGTAGTAATTACTTAGATTTATTGTATTTGTTGGAAATTACGCAAGTGCCATCTTGTATCATTATGATCTGTGTAAGGAGACAATTTTTAGAATATTTTTGCAAAAATATTTACATCAAATTAAACAAATAAGTAGTCTATGGCATTTAAAAGTGGTTACCTACAACTCTGAAATGATAATACTAATTCTTATTGATGATGATATTGAATTTGAAATCATGGTGTAACACTGAACCCGACATCATAAAATGATTACCCTTGTAATGTCAGGGAGTTACAGCCAAGGAGGCAAAATATTACTATCTCACCCCTTGTATCCAATTACATAACAGCAGTGTTTGGTAAAGGTGTTGAATTAATTTTTTTTTATTCTTAAATATCCCCAAGTCACCATAACAATCATTTGAAATTAGAGATATATATATTGAGGCAAGTTAGAATCATCTTAAACAACTTTTAATGAAATATCCAAATGTAGTCTTACAAAAGGTATGTAAGAAAATACCTAACCCATAATAAAATGCATCACTTATTACCTGAGAGGAAAACCAAACTTCTCGATTGATTTTTGGAAGAATGCCAGTGTTGTTGATGCCAGATTGTTGGAAGCAGCACTGAGATACATAATCTTTATAGGAAAAAGAACAATGGGAAACTTCCATGTAAATATTACATTTGATTTACTTACTAAACTAAACTTACCTTACGAGAAAAGCCATCAATACCTCCAAAGATCACAATGTTATAGCTGAATGGGGAAAACAAAATGTTTTTTTTATCAGTTTTTGAATTATCACTTTGAAGTGTTTAAATGTAAGCAATGCAAGATGTAATTTATGTATGTCCAGATGCAAATATAGTAACGAGTAAGATAACAAAATACAGTTCTGAACATTTGCAGATGAAAAAATTCTCAGGAATATCTTTCACTTCAAAAGATCAAATAATTTACCGTATCAGTTTGTGATTTGTGTCAATATGCATTAGAGACTGTGGTCCTGGGACGGAATAAGCACGTCGAGCAATGCATCCCAAGGAAAACATCCTGTGTCAACACGGTGCATAGAACTTCTAACCCTTTGGTACTGGACTCTGTGTCCTCTGGCCTGAAGAAGTGCTTTCACCATCCGGTATCCAGCGTGAGGCTGCCTGGATTTTATGTCTGTAATGCATTGGTCCAACTCTTCATCTGACAGGCTGCTATAGAGTGCTTTGACTGAAAGATTGAACTCATTCATGCGTCGGAATACTGTGCTTCTTTTAGCAATGGCTGGGATGGACAAGTTCAGTTCCAGAAGACTGTTAAGATGATGGGGGGGAAAGGGCCATTCTTAGTCGCCCAGTAGGTCCCCACTCAAACTGAATGACAGCACTATGTAGATTCATTTTATCCTTTTCTCTGTTTATCAGAGTATGTAAACTACATAATGCATCTAAGAGGACAGGGCAAACCTGAACTTGACCAGACAAAGCTTGTAGAAAAACTAGTTCCTGGGTGCAAATGAAATCTAAAAAGTCCAGATCCAGGGGAAGGTGTTCAAGACAATGTTCTAAACGTGAACGCAGTCTCAGAAGAATATGATGTAGGAGAAGATCCTAAAGGAGAGGAAAAAGTAGAATTATTTTTGTAATTTTTAAATCACCAACAAAAAGTGAGTTAAAAACACAAGGTTAGTTACGTTATCTGAATATTCTTAGGCTATAAGATTCCAATGTTTATTTTATCATATTTCCTTATGGTTCTTTGAAAAAAGTATATTTTTCAATTCATGCCATTTGTTGCAGTATTTTGATTTTCTGGTTAGGATTTTATTTATTATTTTCTTACATCTTTTGTTTTAATAGCACAGTAAAAATTGAGCTCGCAAGAGAAAAAGCTTTATTTTCTATTTTATCTGTTTTATTTAAATGTTTTTGAGAACAAAGCCAAACCAAAACTTAATGAAGAAAGCTGGAAATGATTATTGAGTTCAGTGTTCCCAACGAATACTCTGAATGGATGAAAAAAAACGAAAACAGATTGCCTGGCAGCGTGTTTCATTTATGAAAAGGTCAGAAAATTAAATCTGATATTGTCAAATTTAATCCCTTTTGTTTATGAAACAGTGAGAATGAATTTCTTAATGGGTGGCTCAGTTTGGGGAAATTGTGGGTAGCCTGCAAGGGCCTCAACTCAATCCTATATTTCCGTTTTAATATTTCTAATGTTTGCCTTGTTTTCTTCACTGTCTGGTCTGCCTCTGTCTTGCCTGTATGGATGCATTTACACCGAAATGTCCCCAACAAAGGATGTTTTAATTCACCACTATTCCAGTGAAACACGAGTCTCCCATCTTCCTGCTACCGGTCTGGAGTTTTTGTTCACCAAAGCACACACTGACGGACAGATCACTGCCCTTTTGCCGCCTTGTCTGACCGTGTTTTGTGGCTTTGGTTCACTTCACCTCACTCTTCCCCATTCTTGTCATTAAATCAGGCTGTTCTGCAACCATGGCAGCCATTCACTCTATGGCTTTATTCATGGTGTATTTTACCCCTTCACCAAAGGCCGTTCTCGTTTCCAACATTATATTTGCAGTGTTCGTCTATCTATCAATATCTGCGGAGTATTTTTTTAACGAGTATCCTATTTTCTAAAGCACAGCATGTAAAGGGTAGCTCGGTTAGCAGGATGCTAGCATGTAGCGCTTAGTGAGACACGCCTCAGACGAGTTGAGCAAAGACTCCGTCTGTGTACTTTGTACGTGAGCAATGGATTTAAATAAAATTAAGGTTTCAAAAGACAAACTTGAAGATAAAAAAAAAAATATACTCACCGGAGAGCCGC